TTTCCATCATATTTTGTCAATAAGCACATTTTCTGACAGTTTAATTCCGTGACTACTGATTAATTGCTCTCTTTTTATAACATCTAGATATTATAAATTACAACAAAGTAACTTAAGTATTCAGTATTCAGCGTAGATTTCCCAAAATGACAGTTCTGTTAGAAAAATCTACACTTATATACAGTGTAGCACGAGATTTGAACATATTTTGTTAGTCTGGCCATAAAAGGTAACATTACGTCAGTCACCCAGACGGAATATTAGAAAAACAAAAGCATTATTGCACTTCATGTCTGATAATCTACTATTTATTCATTTGGATATTTGGTAATTACAATTTTATGTCCATTTCTTTCTTCTCCAAGTAATATCAACAAAAATCAGCTACATCAGTGTGACTATGACTGAAAGCAATAATTTCTGCTTTATGCATAAATTCACTAGAATCCATTAATTCCACCAAACGCTGTTAATTCTATAGGACATGTCTTGGAAATTTATTAAAGCTAGAGATCGCATTAAAAGTTTCTTTTGATTTACACAAACATACCATAGCAATTCTTTATGTTATACCATGGCAATTCTTTATGTTATACCATGGCAATTCTTTTTGTTATACTTTAATTCATAGCAAAGGAAAGGTAAATATTTATTTCATAAGGTAAAGTTAGAGCTTTATTTTGAAAATATGAAGGTGTAGCTCGGAAACAACAGATTGTTCAGAAAGTTTTCAAGACGTCTCTAACAGTTGTGCAATTCGAGAAGCCCTATATTTGCCTATAAATTCAAAATTCAAAAGATATTAAAAATCGATCAAATATCTTCTTTAGATGTTCACAAGACATTACTTTGTCAGATATCAGTATCATTTTAATGTTGTCTTGCATATCTGCTTAAGTGTTCAAACTGTATGCATAAATGGAAAACTGCAGTTTTTAAGTCTTTTAATGTTAAGATATGAGTCATAGCCTTACCAAAATATTTTGCTGCAATTTGTCATATACAAGGATGAGCATGTTTTTTGCACGCTTCAGTGTGATCGTCGTGCTAATTCATGACAGTACATGTTTGATTTCTTTGCCAGATTTATTTTATTGATATTATATTACTCAATGGCTTTGAGTTGTGGTGTGATCGTCATTTTGTAAAGAATTGCGCTTAAACCGTTGCTAGGTGCCGTCTTAAGGTGGCTGATGATGATAGGGGTTTTTAACGGCATTGACTGGCTATGAAGCCCTCGCATGGTCGGTAAGGTGGCTACTACTGGAAGTGTTTAACGACCTTGACTGGCTGTTCAGCCCTCGCACGGTCGGCTCGGTGCCCGAAGGCGTTTTGGTGAGCGTTTAAATATTTTTGCAGTCGGACAGGAACAGTTGGAATTCGCCATTTTGGTAGGCGGCCATCTTGGATTTGGTGAGTTGTTTTGGTATAGTTTGTTGACTATTTTGTTGTTTACTTCACAACGGCTGCTTTCAGGGCCAGGTTGGTCAGCTTCGCAGCCCGCTAACCACGATGATGGAGTACTGGTCGATGAGTCTCGGACATAGTAATAACGATGACAGGAAGCATTATCAGGACCAAAGTCGTGAGACAGTGAAATGGCGGTCCATCATCTAACACCTAGGATACAGCCCTCGGACGTCACTCGGCATACCAATCCCCCATCCACAATGGGTTTTGAAGTGAAAGTTGACGCGGGAATTAGCCCTACGCGGATTATAGCCTAACGTAGTCTGTACAGCGTTGGATTGGTTTCTGTCATCGAAAGTAGTAAGTCGTTGATCCATCTAACAGTAAACCCTCATCGAAGATAGCGGGTAAAGGAGAGCTGACCCAGCACGTCCGTTCAGTTGTAATGACTGAGACGTGACTGTGGATTGGAATGGTAAGGTGGCTGGGGTGTCTTCCTCCATCTTAGATTTTGAAATAGCAGATAACAATTGGTCTAGATCTTTAATGAAATGTGCAAATTTTGAGAGTAGTATGTAATTCATGTGTAAGACTTTTCATGTTAATATAGAAAATTGTGTGTTTTATCATATTTACGGCTGTTTTTTCTAAAAAAAAACACATTATTTTTGTTTAATTCATTTTTATTCAACTTTGCCACATAAGGGGATATAACTCATATAGTAAGAGAGATAACTCAGATAAAGTAATTTTTATAATAGAAAGTGTTGTGAATTTACCTGTTTTAATATGTAGCAAGAAAATAAGTCTGGTGACCCCATTTTTACTTTTTCTTATCTGAAAACATGTTATAATAGCTATCTTCTCACATTTTATCTTAAAATTCTATGGTGTAGTTTTCTTTTTATTACACAAAATTGGATTTTTCCATGCATTATCTATACAAAATCTGACAAAATTTTGCACAACCAGTAGCGTGAAAAACGTCCAGTGACCCATACTTTTTATTATATTTTGGAAAAAGCATGATAAAAAGTACATTTTGACAAATTATTTTTAAAAAATCTATGGATTTTGATTGAAACCCCACATCCACCTTAAACTTGCAGTGAGGTGAGAGTTTTTTATGCTCAGTGTTGAACGCCTCACTGTGACTTTGTTATCTTTTTATGTAATGCTGTAGCCTATATCTTATTTTCCGAAACTGTGTCTAAAATTGCCATTTTATGTCAAATATTAAGACTAAAGATTATAGTAATTCAAATCTCGAAAATCGAATAAAAAACGCAAATCAAGGTGACACACAAAAACTGAGAGATTCACATGAACTCAAAAAGTCAGTTTTGACATGTTAGTGACAGCAAACTGATATTACAATTGATATTTCCGAAGAATTATCTATTTCTTTAATTACCAGGATCAGATAATTGTTCTAATTTACCCCTTCTTAAAATCCTATTGTGATAGATCACTGAAAAATTATACGATTTATGATTTTAAAAAAATGTAAAAATAATACTACATTTACATGGTTTCCGGAGATTTACGGAGGCCATCATGACCTTCTTTCCAGTAACGGAATAACTGTTTCACAGATAATTACAGACATGTTCCATTTGTCGTTACAACAAAATCGTCCTCCTTTCCTCAATCACTACGTGTCACCGAATGTAAATGTTGGAATTTTTGTGTTGCCTTGATGTCGACGGTTTCAACAAATTATTAAAGTTTGTGATTATGTTAGTATAAGGGGAAACACTAATTGGTAATTTATGATGTTTGGTGTAAAATATTGTATCTCATTTGAGATTATTTCACCCGCTACATCAGTCATGGACAATAGACTTTGAAATTTTTGCATAGGTACATGCAACGCAGTCGAGACATGTCTCTTTGTCAAAAGTTTACACAAGTAATACGACTGGTGTGTCTAGTGCAGCAAAACATGCTTACTCTTATTTCACTGGTGGTTTTTGGTGGGACTCGTATGCACCAGTTTAATGTGTAGTGTTCTTCATTTCAATTTTTTTTCTTTTAGCTATGGTGAAGTCTTTCCATCTTTGACTTATGGTTTTCATTGTGTCCCTAATGATATAATTTTTTTAAAATTTTGTATGAAATAGAATATTTGAAATTAAAGCGAAAAGTTAAAATGAAATAAAAATTTAGAGCCAATTACATGTCAACATCGTATTACACAGAATCATTCAAAATTAAATATCTAACCATAAACATTCTTTATCCATAATTGTCATCATGCTGCTCAATATCAGCTAACATTTTGAATTTACCACTAGGGAAGTGTTTTTGCAATCATTAGGAAGTGATATTTTAAACGGATTAAGCGCGCAACACATGTGTGTGTAGATTAACCTTTTTAGGCACAATAGTTTCATTTTTTTTTAAATAGATAAAACGATTGAAAGCATCAAAGCCAAAAAAGACCTAAATAGAACAGGCAAAACAGAAAAAAGATAACTTTAATACGGACATTTTATTTGAATGTTAAAGATATCGTTATCTGTTTTTGTGAAAGCGACCTTATGGCTGCAGTGTAACATTAAAATACTGAAGTTAACGTTATCACGAATAATTGAAAAAATACATTTGTGAAGAGGGCATTGGGCCCAAATTAATATTTTTTGATGATTTTCACTAAAGATACTGAAAAAAGTAAAGGAGAAACAAGACATACAATCCTTTGTAATTACATTCAGGTTCCCAATACGAAATGTCTTCTTCAAATCAAGTTACTAAATTATTTGATTGATGTTGGAAAAGTCTTATTATGAAGACGAAACTGTACACACTGTCCTTTTATGTAAGGCGGATTCTTATATAAAAAACACAAACATTGTATTGAAAGTACAGTAAAAGCAAACGCTCTTGTCTCACCTCATTTTCCGAAATGTTTGTGAAAATAGATTTAATTTTGACAAACCAAAGTAAATTCTGATAAAATTGTCATAATCTCTTCATTAGTACCATCAATTTTTTTTGTTGATTTTCGCTATAGGAATAAGAAACTAGTAAAACATATTGAAGTTGGTGAAACAATATTTGATTTGAAAAAAGAGATTTTTAAAAAGTCAAAAATTTTGAAAAATATGAAATTAAATGACAATAACTGGTTAAGGTGTGATTAAAAGAATACCTTGAAAAGTTTTGAATCAAAACGACTGGTATTTCTACATTCTTGTGACGATACAGTATTTTTAACATTATTTCAAATGCTTCGATCTATAAATTATTTTGCACATGAATTATCTTCTACTCATTGTGAAAACTTGCATTTAAATATATTTCCATAAAATAAGTAAAACTAATATGTCGATACAACAGGAGCATACAGAATAGCATAGAGTCATGAAATCCAGAAAAAAAAGATATAAATGCCCCAAATTAATCGGATGTGTTCGGTTCCACAAGCTTTTTTAAAAAATGTTCTTTCAAGTATAGGTAAGTTAGTCAATTATTTATTATAGTGAACTATGTAAAACCAATGTGTCATACAAGTATGTTTTAAAAACAAAAAAATACACCAGACCCATTAGGCCTATAAGATAAGTGTAGAAATTGTTGCAACTAACCTGAACAGTGATTATTTCGCTTTTCTATGTATGGACGTCGAATTTGTCTTAATCTGGAAAAGTCTACTTTCATTCCATATACACATGCACACAAAAGTCCCAATAAATACACTATTATTTCCTGCCGCCCTAACAATCGCATCTGAAACAGAAAATTATACAATTGGTTAAAAAATACTAACAAAAATTTGAAAATCATTCAGATAAATAAATACATTAAAAATAGCTACTGAAACAACAACACCAGCACAAAAAATGATTGCGATGACAACATAATCTTCATAAATAGATTCAAACCTTTACACTTCAAGTAAACGGTACATACAGTCCTTTTTTGAGACTACAGAATAAGTTGTCCCGGTACTTATTAAAACCGCAAAACAACTGCACAATATAATCAGATACCAACCACTGATATCGTAATTATAATGCTTGGCTTATAAATTATTAAAACTTTTAATAAACGATTTTCAGTAATTTTTAAATGACAGCAAAAATATGAAATTATATAATATGAATCATTGTCCTCATGGACTACCAAAAGGTCTGCGATGCATATTTGAAAAGTGCATATGAGATATAAAAATATTAGTTGAAACCCTGCCCCATTGTCATGTGCCTGTCACAAGTGAGGAACTACGTCAATATTTGCCGTATTTCATATCCTAAAGTTTATGGTTATTTGGAGAACTGAGTGTTGATTGCTTGTTACTTTGAAATTTATTTACAACTTTTAATAGATTCGAGACGATTTATAGAGCTTGATACATTGCATTGTTAAAAAATGTATATGGCCCTTTAGATGTGGTTATTTTTGTTTTTAGGTTATTCATATACCGGAAAACACTGCGATAGAAGGGAATCTGCAGAATTCGAGATGCCATGTTTTCAAACATGATATGGGCTATTCTAAAATCCTTATACTTTTAGGTCAAGCTACCACATAGCTTAACAACCCGGTAACATTTCAAGACAAGTCCCGATACTAAGTCGTTTGTAGTTAACAAATTAAAAATTTCTTCTGCAATGTTTGGCTAAGGCTAACTTAAGATCAATTCTAAGAATATTGGTTATGAATTGTCGTCAAATTATTCCTTCTTCGAACTTCGAATCAAGTGAGGTTCAAGCGCTTCTGATGAAGCAGGGAGGTAAAATTTTAAAAGCGCGTATCCTGTCCTGTTGTAAGATTGGTATCTTTTTATGCCCTTTTGGCAGTTCTTTATTTATAGTTTTAACTTTGTTTTGTGATTAATTTCTTTATGTATGAATATTATAAACTTTAGGGAATGATATATGGATTCAAATTAAAGGGTTTAATTGCACAAAGAGGCTGACAAGACAGAATTACAAATACTTCAGCAAATAATGCGGAAAGATGTCATGTTTGATAGTCTTAACTTTTAAGACTGATGAAATAGTAAAATTCCATTGAGTATTTTTCATTGTTGTTTATAAGCATCATTAAAGGGCGGGAAAAATTGAAGTAAAACTGATAATTTTTAACATGCAAAAATTGGTTTTGATTTTTCTTATAAAAAATATTTATATTCATGATCCTGAGAAACCTGATAACTTTTTAATACTATTATATGATTGTAGTAAACATAGAACTACGCCAAAACATGTTTACATATGACTGTACATACGGGTATGAAGTGTTTTATATTTCAAAATATCAAGTAACGAGAAACTGGAAATGCAAATAGCAATATATATATATAATGAATGGACAAGCTAAAGCAAGGATCGAAAGACAGCGATGGTCATTTAATTGCATCGTAAGCATCAATCCCATATTCCATCTAAGTATGGTCAGTTTCATACCATTATGTTGACAATGCCATTGAAACATTAATAACCAAAAAGGCCTGTGAAAAGCTGCATTAAACTATTGATGGATATCAGATACTTTAAGGTCTGCTATTTCTATCAAGCTATTTGTGGTTTCCCTCAACCAGTAATAATGACATCAACAATTCTCGATCTTTCATTCATGTAGAGAAAAGTAATGAGATGAAAGTCAATTTACAGTCTCAATAACGAAATTAACTTTGCGCAGCTTATATACATTGTTTGTCATTGTAATTCACCCCGTATACATTCATCTTTTAAATGTCATTTTCTGCTAAAATGCAAGTACATGAAAACTTAATCGTTTGGTACCATAAAAGATCATTAAAATGGCAGCTGTTTTTATTGTCAGGACCAATTCCATTGGTTCAATTGAGCTTTGTTATTTGATCTGTATTTTAACCAGATTGAACATAAAACAACGTTAACTTTTCTTTTCTATATTGGTCTTACTTGTAATGGGCACCGCTGTCTATTGTGTTGTTCTTATACTATTTTTGAGTTGCTTTATTATATCTACTCAGAAATACAACAGCGGATATTAAACTGCTGACAAAATGATTAGATGAACATCTTTTAATCAGTTTATATTATTTACAAACGATAACTTTTTCACCATTTAACATTAGGCAACTGATATTGACGAACGTGTGAATAAAAAGTCATCAAAGATATTAGGCTTATGAATGATTGATGATTATAACACTTTACTTGTAACATTTCTGCTATAGTTTCTCCGTTGGTTAGTCGCGACAATACGTATGCAGAGCTCTCAATGTTAGAAGTGCTCTTTTGCACTTGCAAAGTTTTAATTATTTCATCATAGGAATTTTCATATTCAAGATGTTAAGATATCAACAGCAACCCTGCCACCTGCACTGCATCCCATTCCCTAGACAACTCGATCAACTATAAAATATGAATGTTGTGCCTTTCCTCGTTGACTTCATTAAGGACTGTTTGTACGGTAAATGAAGTACAGAAGTTTGGAATGGTATACTTGTGCAGCTTATTACAACACATCTTTAGGAAGGATGGCAATGTTACTTCATGCAGCTCATTTGATTTACAACATATTATAATGAAGGCAATGTAACTTGCACAAGAGTTACAGTATTTTTTTTAAATGTTGGATTTTTTTAAAGTAGAAATGGTATTGTGTCTCATCTCAGTCATCTGTGATGCTAGCATAAACCCTGTAAAAGACATTATGTGTTTTCCATTTTACCACAAGAAAGAAATAGGATTATTTAATTTGAATTCTACCTGGCCTCAATCTATTACAATTAAATGAAAATGTCATCTACTAAACAAAGAAACTTACAAAAAATAATCTTGAATTACATATTTTAAGTATCGAATAATACATTTTTTAGGTGACAAACGATATTGTTTCTATTAATTTTTCACCAGTAACTTTTAATTATGCAACACATTTTGAGGATGCGTAGTGTCTCATTACAATATCCATTTTCATATAAATCTTGCTTCGTGCTCTCCAGAGTATTGGGTCCGAATAACTGCTGCAGAATGGAAGTTCGCCAATGAATAGGATTACATTGAACAGTTAGATGACATTTGATAGAGTTGTATTATATGTAATGAAGCATACTTCAATTGCCTTGTACCGCTGTCAACCTGATACAAAGCTGTGGCATTTGTGAATTATTTATCAGGGTTTTAAATCATTTTTGCATCATTTCATTTTTGAAAACTAAATTGAGTGTTGGATATTTTAGTTGCATGTCTAGGCTCAGGGAAAGTCGGATTAGGAAAAGCTTTGAAAAGCATAATTAACTATATATGTCATATCTTTCTTACGGAGTTTGTTTTTTACCCTTTTCAATGACAAAACATCTTTTGATACGTGCAGCATTGCTGTTTTCGAGTAAGATAACAAAATATGCTGCCTATTAACACACCATTATGTAAAATTCAAGTAAACTAATTATCTGTGTATAATATATTTGGACAGTTATATTTACGAAATAATGCAAATGGTATAATTTTGTTGTGGTCAAAGCCGAAACTTACATAGTAAATGCAATATAATTGGTTGGCAATCACTTATTGACTGTAAAAATCGTTTCATTCTGAACAATATGAAAAGTGCATAGATTAACAAAGAGTAGTTAAATTTTCCATTTGAGAACTACAGACATGATACTCGCTCAGCAGGAAGAATAACCAAGAGTACTTTGTTTGATTCTTTCTAGTAATAACATTAGCTGTACCAATTTTATTGCAGTTTGTTCGCACTGCTACAATGAATGTATCTTTCAGAGATGCTCGAGGCCAAAATATTTGAAAATTCAAAACTTATTCAAAATTTAAATTGAAATTTAATGTAACGAAAGAGTGAATTGTATGAAACATCTTTTGGAGTATGGACAAACTTTTCTGGAAGGCGCCGATATCCGAATACTGTTGGCGAACAGCTTGCATGTGCTTTTAAACAAGGTGAACTTCAATGCTAATGGACTTTAACTTTTTTTATTATAGAATAGAGAATGGAAACTGGATATTTGTCAAAGAGACAACAACCCGACTGGCCAAAGAGCAGAAAGAAGCCCAAGGTCTTCAACGCAGCAAGAAAATCCTGCACCCGGAGGCGGGCTTTAGCTGAACCCCTAAACAATAATGTATACTATTTCAGCGAAAAGGACGTCATGACTAAACCCTGAAACATAAACCCTAAAAGACTAACAATGGCTGATTTTGGACAGGCGCAAAATAGCGGCGGGGTTAAACATGTTTTGTGAGATATCAACCCCTCCCTACAGCAATACGCACAGTAAAACTTAGTTTAAAAGAAGTCTGAGTCCGATGTTAGAATACTTAACGGTAGAAACTAAGCAAAATGACAATGATCAAAATAAATCAACAAGTACTAGGCTAGCAGTTACTGACATGCCAGCTCCAGACCCCATTAAACTGATCGAAAGATTATGTCTTTATCATATGAAATTCAACCACAGTCCCTCCCGTTAGGGTTTAGTATCGTGCCATGTATCATGTATGTTTGATCATTTGTTTGACCTATATAAATAATGGAGAATATCAAACACGACCGATGTAAATGTTGAAGTTAAAGTGAAAAAAATGAATCACTAAATATTAACGACTTGTGGGTGGTGCTATAGGAACAATAACAAAGTCAACACCAGAATTTTAATCTTTATAAAACAATTAAAGATGCAAATAAATCTAATCATTCTAATCGAATTCCAAAGTTACGATGAATTCTCTGATATTAGTCAACTACTTTCTGGCCTTCCATGATAATTTAAA